AAAAAAAAAAAAAAGGAGAACTTTGTACAGAGTTCATTTACCAGTGAGGAACAAGGACTATCAGTCAGGGTACAATGACCTGACCAAAGCCACACAGCTAAATAGTTAGCCTTAAGCCCCAGCTCTCTGCCCCTAACTTACCAAGTCCCTATAATACCAGCTCTTTATATAACCCCTTGCTTCATGTAAACAAACACAGACAGACGTAACCTCTTGTTTCCCTTTTCAAATCTTCATTTCCAAGCACCCTCTGACACCATTCTTCAGAGCCTTCTTAGCTATAAAAACTATTCCAGAAGTAGTCTATCAAAAGGGCCAGATAATTCATCCTAAGGTAAATGGCTCATATTACCTGGATATTTGCATTATAATAGACAGACCTTCTACCCAGTATTTCTGAGACAGTAATAGCAGACCTCAATGAAGACTGACTACGCATGCAGCTGTCTGTGTATGCACATGGCAGTGTCTTCTCAGGCTTGTCATGACACAGTAGTGCTACAGCCCCTGTACACAGGGACGAAAATATAAAGGGCTTTTGCTAAATGCAGGGGATGCCAACATAAAAGGGGACCACTGTCCTTCTAATGTGCGCTGAATAAACAATGAGGAAAGGAAGAAGGGAAGAATTTGAAGCCTTTTGAAACTTCAAACTAAATCTTCTACTTTGGGGTCTTAACAGGGATCTTAACATAACAATCTTTCCCTATCCTAAAAACATGTCAGGCTTTGGGCAAGCACCTCACAGTATTTTAAAAGAGCTGCACAGATCCAAATGGACAGATGGTGTTATTTAATGCTCACATATTTGGTGTCACTTTGAATTCTTTTCCCTGGTGCATACCTACAATGTAAACAGCAAAGCGCTCATAAGCAAATTTAGATTTGAAAAGTAGTTCTTGGGCCTGAAAAGTAGTAGCTTATTGGGCCTGCCTCAGTGGAACACAAAGCAGTTTTTAACCTGACAGATAACCAAAAAATTAAGATGCAAATTTACACACTTCGTTGTCTTAAAAAGTTAATCTCTCCAGCAGGCCTGTTAATCTCTCCAACAGACCTGTGAGGTGCAGATTATGTGAGGACCATTTTGCTTATCTGTAGTGTCAGATATTAGAAAAATTATACACGGACCTTTTTGCTCATCAGCTTTCATTAGTGTTTGTGTATTTAATGTATGGCCCATGACAACTCTTCTTCCAATGTACAGCAGAGAAGAAAAAATGTTGGACGCCCCCACTGGAGCTTTTCCTTACTCATGTTCCACCTCACAAATTACACAAGACAAATAAGAAGAGAACTAAAAACAGTCAATTGGGTTTGACATTAGGAAGTCCCCTGCTGTCTAGTCTAAAAGCAAAAACCATCTACAGCAAACCCACAGCCAAATAGAGTTGAATTGAAATCACTTTCACCCAGATCAGGAACCAGGCAAGGTTGCCCATTGTTCCCACTGCTTTTTAACATTGTAATGGAAGTCTTAGCCATCGAAATTAGGGAAGAAAAGGTGATCAGGGGTATCCACATAGGGTCAGAAGAGATCAAACTTTCACTCTTAGCAGATGACATGATTGTATATCTGGAAAACACCAGGGGTTCTACTACAAAACTCTTAGAAGTGATCAAGGAATATAGCAGTGTCTCAGGTTACAAAATCAACACTCATAAATCTGTAGCCTTTATATATACCAACA